AGGATCAGTGGATCTGTGTTCGACTACTCCACCTAGGCTGTATTTCTGAGCACAGATCCACTGAGAAACTTGCTGTTTCAGCAACATTTAATTAAAAAAACTGTACTTTTGAGGTTAAACAAATGTTCATAATTAATTTAAATAAATTACAAGTTAAAAGGGGCATGGACATTTCTCTGTTCTGTATCGAAAAAATATCGAACTGTGAGATTAAAGTATCGAACTGAACCGAGTTGTGAATTTTCTGTATCGTTGCAGCCCTATTAAATACATGGATATTTCTCCACACAAATGCTGTCAGAATGTATCTTCCTGTTTGGGAAGCAGATGGCAACATGTAGAATGAAGCATACACATGATTCACGTGGATTTTATTTTGAAATCAGAGGTTTCAAAAAGACGACAGCGACACAGTTTCAACCATAGAAATCAAAAGCTTTCTCTTTGTTGATGGAAATAGATGAGAAGTCCATCCTCCAGCCCCACAACAAACCAGTCCATCATGATGAAAGTGATTAGAAAAGTGTTTGTGGTGAAAACAACAGCTTCTGTCTCTGCTCTCTGTGAATGCTTTCTAATCTTTTGTTTCTCTCTTCTCTCCCTTCATAACTTCTTCTTGTTCCTTTTCTCTGTCTCTTGTGGTCAGCCTGAGGCCGGTAAGCCTCACCTCCGGAGGCCTGATTTAGAGCAGTGGTACCAGGAGGTGATGGCTGGCTCCACACAGCTTTGTGTCTCCTCTGTACCAGACAAGTGTGTGTCAGGCCACAGACCTGTGCTGCAGGTAGATGCTCTCCTTCAGTCGTTCTCTGCAGACTGCCACCCTCTGTGCTGCTGTCTAAACGCCATGCTTCAAACCTGAAGTTGTCATTTTTAAATAAGGACTTGGGTCTGTTTGTGTGTAGTTGGCTTGTGTGTGTGTGCGCGCGTGTGTGTGGGGGGGGGCAGTTGATTACTTAAACTTAGTTGCCCACTTTCTTGTGTGACTGGATTAATTTAAGTGTACAGCTCTTTTTTTTACATTAGCTTCTGTAAAATGAGGATATTGTGGTTTCCTCCCACAATCCAAAAACAAGCCTGTTGGGCTGCCTTCAGGTCCGGTGTTCTGAAGATCTGTGCTACCTCGTCAGATGTTGCTACTGTAGTGCTGCTTGATAGCTAGGTCTAAAACTGCTGCTGCTATCCATCGAAAACTGCTACAGTCATGTTTACAGAAATATGATAATTGGATAAAATTTTTTGAATAACTGTGTTACTGAAGTGGAAGCTTAGGAGTTATGCTTAGCATAGCATTGGAACAATTACTATACACAATGAAAACCTTTATAATAATCACAAGAGTATCGCCTTAAAAACCTTTTAAAATAAAAAAAACAATACACTGCACCAGATACACACACACACACACACACACACACACACACACACACACACACACACAC